GAAAGTTCCCCTATCTACTTGACCAATCAAAACACTCCTCTACTTGACCAATAAAAAAAAGCGCAATTTTTCTCTCTCCTAACTACTTCTTCTCTGAGTTTTTTCTTCTCTTCCGGTTTGGCTTGTCGAATTAAGCTCTGCTGTAGTCACTCCTCAATTTCGTTCAAATCTTCATTTGTAAAGGCTGCGGCTCGCTTGGATGCTAAACCAGTGAATCCCCAACTCAGGTGAAATAAAACTTCAGGTAAAGCATTATCTTGGTCTTTAATTCATCTTATAACCAGTCGAGTCGAATGAAAATGCTGCTTGTTACGTTGGGATACGTAGATATCGAATATTTGGGTTGTCGATTAGGGGAGAACGGGAAAGATTTGAGAGTAGGATGGTGTGTTTGTTATGATATTGGATTAATAACCAGAAATGTCGGGAGTCAAAGCTGAATTCCGGAATGAATAGGGTGAAACTGGTAGACTATAAAAGTGTAATAAGGTGATTAGATGAAACTGGTATACTATAAAAGTGTTGAAACTTTACTCTTGACAAAAATGTGTAAAAGGGTATAACTTAGTATTACTTTAATAGCAAAACTGTATAATTAAGATTAAATTTAATTGTATAATTTTTATTTGGTACAACAGATAATGGGTTATTCTTCTACAAACATACACTTTGACTATGATGGACATTATGCGAAATCTGGTGATGATTATGAATGAATTTCAAGCGATGGTCATTTGTATGGTATATCCTTTAAGACATCATCATTGGATGAGATCACTCATTCGTTTTTGAAAGAGAGGATATGCAAGAAGAAGAGCATAGATCCGTTTTTAAAGAGGCTGAATCTTAGTTACATTCCACTGGTAGTAGAACCTAAGAGGCAATCATATATTTTGGATGATGAAGATGTGTTTGTGTATCTAACATCAGTGGATAAAGAGGGAAGAAGAAGTATTTTGCATGTAGAGGTCATCGAAGGAATGGAAATAGTTCCAGTAATGGAGCAACAATCAGTAGTTGAGAAAGAAAGCTCATATGGTGGAAACTATAGTGAGCTTGCGAGTGGATTACCCGAAGTTGAAGAAGCAGAACTATATCTACCAGAGGCTGAAGGGGTGGAGAATTTTGTTACTAGAGAAGCAGAGGAAAGGGAAGGGGGCATTGATGTTATTAATGGAGAAGCCGACGAAAGAGGCATTAATGTTCTTATTGGAGAAGCCGGTGAAGGGGGCATTGGTATGGACAACATCGTTGACGATGAGGGCGAGGTGGATAACTCCATGGGTGTTCGTCATGTTTGGGACTATGTTGAGCTCTCACGTGTTGGAAAAGAAATTCCAGTGGTTAAAGAGTGGGAAGATGGTTTGGGTATTGAGTTGTTACAAGAATTTCCGAGTAAAGAAGCTGTGAAAAATATGATTAATAGAGCATCACAGCTGAACTGTTTTGGAATTAGTATCTCCAACTCAGACAAGAGTCGATATGTGGTGAAATGTCGGTTAGCAGCTGAAGGTTGTAAATGGGGTGTGAGAGCTACAAAGATAAATAATTCTGAAGTGTTCACGATTAGAACATACATGAAGATGCATTCATGCTCTCACGCAACTTCATGTACTGGAGTCAAAAGGAAAGTTACCCCAAGATGTGTTGCATCCATAGTGCACAAGGATTATCCGGGACTATATGAGACACCAACTGCGAAAATCCTGCTCGGTCTGGTGAAAAGGAAATTGGGTGTGGAAGTGTCGTATACGACATGCTTGAGAGGAAAAAATCAAGCTGTTGCGGATTTGCGTGGTGATCCCGAGAAAGGATACAAAATATTGCCTTCTTAGTTGTATATGTTAGAGAAGGTGAACCCGGATACAAAAAAAAAGTTTGTTACTGGATGAACACAAGCGGTTCAAATACCTATTTGTTGCGTTGGGAGCCTCCACTGAAGGGTTTGAATTCATGAGAAAAGTCATCATTGTGGATGCAACTTTCTTGAAGACTGTTGAAGGTGGTTGTTTAGTTATTGCCACGGCTCAGGATCCAAACCTTCACCATTATCCAATTGCTTTTGGTGTCGTTGATGGGGAGAAAAAAGAAAGTTGTAATTGGTTTTTCACGACGCTGAAAACTGTTATTCCAGATTCGACGGAATTGGTGTTTGTTTCAGACAGAAATGCAAGTCTGATAAACGATGTTTCTGAAATGTATCCGCTGTCTAAACATGGGTATTGTATCTGGCATCTATCGCACAATGTGAAAGGTCATGTCAGACATGGGAGGGACGAAGTTGCGAAACAATTCAGAAAAATTGCATGTCTTTATTCAGAGAATGAGTTTGAAATGCAGTTGCAAGATTTTAGGGAGAGGTATCCAGCGTGTGGTAAGTATGTTGATGATACTGCCGATGTCAAAAATTGGGCGAAGTGTCATTTCCCCGGTGCAAGGTACAACATAGACACCTCTAATTGTGTGGAGTCATTGAATGCGCTATTTAAAAAGGCATGAATCATGTCTTTATTGCCTATGCTTGATACAGTTATTGACAAAATGGCTGAGTGGTTCAACAGACATAGGAAGGATGCAGCAGCCGGACCGGCATCTTGAAAATTGGCTCCTTTACTGGAGAACAAAATCCATGACAGAACACCGAAAGGTCAAGACTTGATGTGATTCCGCTGAATACTTTTCAGCTTGAATACCGTGTTATTGGAGAAGATGGGAAGACTTATTTGGTAGATTTGCATAAGAAAACGTGCTGTTGCAGGAAGTTTGATATAGATAAATACCCGTGTAGACATGCAATAGGAGCTATCATCAAGTGTTTGAAGCATGATAGACCAATACAGGTGAGTGACATGTATGATTTCGTCTCGGATTATTACTTCATTAGAGTGTGGGCTTTGGCGTATCGAAGGATTGTATATCCAGTCCCTCATATGTTTGATTGGATGGTTCCAAAAGAAGTCGCGGATAAGTGTCCCTTACCTCCAGAGTATGTGAAAAAAAAAAGACATCAGGAAAACAGGTTTCCTTCGGCAGGAGAAAGATGGCCACGTCCCCGTCGTAATAAGTATAACCCGGATATTGCCTTGGCAAGCTATTTCAACTGCTCGCAGGGAACTCAAGGAACAGAATGATTACGGGGAACACAAGGCACTCAAGGATCACAAGGCAGTCAAGACACTCATGGCACTCATGGCACTCATGGCACTCAAGGCACTCAAGGCACTCAAGGCACCCAAGACAGTGAACACAAGAGTTGATTGTGAGTGTAAAATTTGGTGAAAGTAGAGGAAATCTTCAAAAACTTTGTGAAAAACATGCGTTATGTGAATGCGAAGCTTGGTGAAATCTAATTAAAGTTATTGCGATATATAATTCTAAAACTTGGTGAAACTTGTGTTATTATTGTTGATTTGGAGTAATTACACCTGCGATGACATTACTTAATCATGTTTAAGGAATATGACGTTACTTATTCAACATGTTCTGAGATCCGTATCACGTGGACTGAAAATTTTTTATAATGTGGATCACATTTTCTATCAATTGGGAAGGGAATACATCATTGTTAGATGTTTTTTTTGTATACACTACATTGTGGGATTATAAAAGTTACTTATGTCACAAAAATAAATTGTTTTCTACACTAAAACATCTAAAACGTTCATATAAAACAGAATATAGCTGGTATAACCATAAAATTAATCATCTAAGTACAATAAAACCAACAAAATCGCAAAAAAAAACAGAAAAGTAAAACTTAAAAGGTTTATGTATAACTACAAACCAAGTGAAACTTTAAGAACGAAAATCATTTACAAATTTTTACCGCCCAGCTTTTTGATATTTCCCGCCTAGCTTTTTGAATTTACCCCAAAATCGACATAGACGTGTATGTATTAAAGCCATTTTTTTTCTTTTTCACCCATTTATTCATTCTCTCTCTAGATTGATTTGGCGAGAACTCAGATCTGTATTCTGTCCCTCTTCTTTCTGGAATTCTCGATTACTCAAAATCATGACTCATCCAGACGAGGAGTATAGGGAGATGAAGGCTTTGAAGAGAGAATTCGACATGCGTGGCTTCGTGGAGGATTCTGAGTGTGGGACTCCAACCAGATGCCCTTGTGGAGGTAGAATCATCAACGAGGTGTCTCGGAACCCAAAGTATCCAACCGATTTTGATACTTTACCGGGGAGAAAATACTTCACTTGCAAAAATTTTGAAGTAATTTGTGGATACTTTCGGATTTTATTTATGTGCAGATTTTGATACTTTTCCGTTTCACGTGTAGAATGATGGCTTCCATTTCTGTCAACCATGGGTCTTTGGAGTCCAGGAAGAGGTCGAAATGTTAAGGAAGCGTGTGGATGCGATGGATAAGGAGATTGCCGAACTGAAGTATGAACTGAAGTATAAGCTTACCCGTCCGAATCCTACCACTCCATGAGATTCGGATTATGTTCCTCTTTTACCAAGCTCTCATCTTATGTATTTATGGATTCTATGTTATGTTCACCCGAACATCTATCTATTTCAGTTACGTTATGAACTCGGCATTCAACTCATCCTATGTTATGTTGAAAGTGAAACTTTGAAAGTTTCTCCCAATCTCCCTCTTTTTCGAGAGTTTCGAAGGAAGTTAGGTTTACGAAGTTAGGCTAAGTTGGAACTGAAACTTTGAAAGTTTCTCCCAATCTGCCTCTTTTTTGAGAGTTTCGAAGGAAGTTAGGTTTACGAAGTTAGGCTAATTTGGAAGTGAAACTTTGAAAGTTTCTCCCAATCTCCCTCTTTTTCGAGATTTTCGAAGGAAGTTAGGTTTACGAAGTTAGGCTAAGTTGAAAGTGAAACTTTGAAAGTTTCTCCCAATATCCCTCTTAAAAACACACAAGTCTTAAATAGCTTAAGTTTCAAACAACAAACATGCAAGTCATACGGAAATTCAAATATGTCATACAAACCAAATAGAGTTCAACCACATTAAAACAACTACAAACGGATTTCACTCCGTCTTCTTACCTACCTTCTTTGTCTTACTCTTCTTCGGCTTCAGGGGTGGCTTCTTCTGGGCTGCCTTCTTAGCTGCTGCCTTCTCAGCTGCTGCCTTCTTAGCTGCCACCTTCTCAGCTGCTGCCTTCTTAGCTGCCTCCTTCTCAGCTGCCTTCTTTGCACCTCTGTTCTTCTTCCATGCTGCCTCTTCCTCTGCTACATCTTCCTCTGCTGCCTCATCCTCCTCTGGTTCCTCCTCCTCCGCTCCCTTCTCCCCCCCCCAAAACCCATGCTTCTTGTATTAACGGGACTCCTCACTTTTTCTTAAACCCTCTGTCTTTTTCGAAGGCTCTGCTTCTTTTCCATCATCTATTCTCCCCCTCTTTTTTTCTTTCTTTGCCTTCTCAGCCTCTGCCTTCTCATGCTTCTCAGCATGAACAATCATCTGTGCAGTATCTTCTTCCATGTTATCACCAACATCACCATGTTCTTTCTACACTTCGTTTGTAACATCGCGAATGTAATTATTTACGTCATCTTCTTCCTCCGACTCCTTACTCTCCTTATCACCACCATCCTCTTCCTCCGATACCTTATCAACATCATCCTCTTCGTCCGACTCCTTATTCTCCTCCGACGGATTATCACCATTTGACCTAAGACTTTTCACTTCGTCTTCTAGAAGAGTTAGCTTGTCAAACAATGAAGAGACTGTTTTCTTCAAATCCTTCACAGCATCTTCAACTGCTTTCATAAGCCGACCGTCCATCGCTTTTAAAGCCTTAGGTCCAGTATCCTCCACCGAATCTGAATGAGCCTTACCAGATTGCACATTATTCGATGGTCCTCCGATAGTATCGGTGGGACCTTTAAGCTTTGTTTTGCGAGCCTCACAATCGATGCGGAACTGTTCTTCAAAGAAAACTTGTGTCGAGCCTTTCTGTAATATCTTTGTCCAACGATCAACTGCTGCATCATCGGAGTCATCGGAGTCATCGGCCCAACAACTTTCCTTGTCCATACCTATGGTTTCCAGAAGTTCCTTCTCACCTGTTTTTGCTACCAAGATACTCTCAATATCCTGTGACAAATACACAAAAAAACATTAACTGCCTTAATTTCACCAAGTTTTCATAAGTCTCATAAGTCATGTCACCAAGTTTTCATGGTTTCACCAAGTTTTCATCAGTCCAATTAATACAATTATCTCACCTTTGTATCAGTACCAAGTTTCTGGTTCATAGAATTGAGACTGAATTCCTTGGTTCCACTTTTGCGTTTGTACTCCATCTTGCACATCCGCGGGCAATCATGGCGTGCACCAATCACATTTTCTCGGAAATGGTTCCTTAAGCTTGGGATTGCCTCAAAGGCCAACAACTACGAACACACAACAAATAAACATTAACATCAATTTAACAGTAACACAACTAAGTAAAGAGAGCTTCAAAATACCTCCAAAGGAATAAGAAAGCTTGTAAAAACCCAACTCGTCGGCGCAACCCCGTCGGATTTCTCCAAGAACCTAGAGACATCCTTCAAGTTATGTTCGAATGCATACCGCCCCCAAGGAAACGTTAAACACGCATCTAGGTCATCAACAACACTCAGGAAGAAACTGTCCATAGGTGATGCTGCGTCACCAGTCTTTTGGCCTCCGACGAGGATGCTGGCTAATAAGTATAGAACGGCCATCTTCTTACGATCCTCAGATGGTTTTGATTTCATTGACAACATTTGCTTCTCCACGTCAGCGTATGTTACCCTTTTCCCTCCAAAATACTTTTTCATGAATGCTGTACCACCCAACCTCTCATGGTTGGGGGGATACTCATGGCAGTATGGTCCAGAAATGAGTCCTAATTCTCTGAGCGAGTATCAGATTGTGACGCCATTAACGATAAACTTTTTCATGAATGCTGTACCACCCAACCTCTCATGGTTGGGGGGGATACTCATGGCAGTATAATCCAGAAATGAGTCCTAATTCTCTGAGCGAGTATCAGATTGTGACGCCATTAACGATAAACCATAACTCATTTTTCTTTGCTACACAAGCTGATCGCAAAACAAGAAGCCACAGTCCCATCCACTTGTGCTTTCGATTTTTATATGGAAGAAATGTTGGAACTGTGGGTGCTCTATGAACCATACCATCTCCTTCTCTTTCAGGATTGTTTGCATATTTCTTATGCAAGTGTCAATGTAACATTTTCCTGAAAGCTTTAAAGACGTTTGATACTATCTTGAAGGAAAGCTCAACTTCAGCGATTGCATTCCTTCATGCTTGTCATCTACAACCTGCACTCAAGTGAATACCGGATCACATACAACATCTTACAACCATCAACATATAGTTTCACAAACTTCGACTTAGTTCAGCAATCACTCATTTAAATTTTTTCTTGATTTCTCAAGGTTCGTACATCTATATTGTTGCAGTTCCACTCAGATTCACAAAGTCATCAACAAATTATAAGTTTCACTTTGTTTCTCCAAATTACACTAACTTAAATTGCACTTAGTTTTCCACAATTATCTAATCTCTTCAAATCATCTTTCCTACTTACCGACTCTGCATGCGACTCAGTTCCATGTGGTCGTACAATTATCGCTGTTTCATCGTCTCTTTGGGGCTCCATTTCCTCTTCCACTTCTTTCGGCTCCTTTTCTTCTTCTCTGTCTTTATTCTCTTCGTCTACGGTTTCCATCTCTTGTTCTCCTTCGTCTACGACTTCCTTCTCTTTTTCGTCGGTTCCCGGGGAGACAGATTTCTCGATGCGACTTGGGTTTGCTTCATCTCCGGATAATATAACCATAGCCGTGTCATCTCCTCCTACACTACTCGAGCCGTCTTCTTTTGACTTCGGATCGTCTCGACTCAACATAATTTGGTTTTGATTCTCGATTGACTAGGGTTTTCAGAATTTCGATTTGTGCGAACGGTCGATAAATGGAGTAGTAACTAGTGAAACCTACCTATAACTTTACAAGTTCCATTTATTATTTTCACATCATTCCAATTTTCAACCGATAAGGAGAAACCTATTCGGGAATTCAAAATCTTGAAGTGGGTATCCGATTTTTTTGGGTCAGTTTAGGGTCCGGGTTTGGATAGTCGTAGGTAGAGTTGTAATTATCTAAGTTTCTCTTGGTTTCGTGGTCTTTTAATAAATTTTCTATTTTTAAAAAATATATATTAAATTCCAAATCCGGTCAGTTTTGGGCAGGAGTATCTCAGCTCTTTTTTTCGGGCAGGAGTACCTGAGCGTTTGACTCCATTTGTCGTCTCGTCCCTAGCCAGGCTCGACGAAGTCGCGATGACTTTTCCTTTCTCCTCTCGCGTTAACCTCTATCGCAGGCACATCTTACCAAGATAGTATATGTATATATCGTGCAACAACTTAGAGAGAGAAAGTAAAGAGAAGGATACCTGTAGCAGCGAATGAAATAAAGAAGACGAAATAGAGAAGAGTATATATAGGGGAAGAGAGGCAAGATTCCCAGGGTCATCATTAAGTCTATTAAGACCTAGTTGGGCCTCAATTGTTCGCGACTCTTCATGTTCTAAGGGGCCGAAGTCTCTCAAAATGCCCATTTACCCACGACTGTTTATATTCTCGCAGCGTCAGCTCACTTCGCTTAAGCAGCGAGCAAACTACTCGATTGTCAAGTGAGATAAGCTAACGAGCAGACGACTCAATTACCGAGTCAAGGCGAACCAATGAATGAGTGACCCCATTCTTTCGTCGGGTGCTCGTCTCGGTAACCAAACCAATACGAGCAAAGGATTCGACTGTCTGGTGAGATAAGCTAATGAGCAGAAGATTCAATTACCGAGTCAAGGCGAACCAACGAATGAGTGACCCCATTCATTCGTCGGGTGCTCGTCTCGGCAACCAAACCAATACGAGCAAACGATTCGACTGTCTGGTGAAATAAGCTAACGAGCAGACGACTCAATTACCGAGTCAAGGCGAACCAACGAATGAATGTCCCATTCGCTCGACGGGTGCTCGTCTCGGCAACCGAATCGATACAAGAAAACAACTCGGCTATCGAACCACGACGAGTGAACAGGCGAACGATCTCACCGATTCATTTCGTGCCCGTCTCGGTAACCGTATCCGAGGAAATTTTCGTGTTCTTGGCCCTGTTATTCCGTGAACCCAGTCTGCTAGAATTCGTTCCCAAGTTGCCGAGCAACTTGACAACGGACTGGGGGAACTTACTGTTGGAGATGGATTGCCCCATCCCTCAAGGCCCACTGAATAACAGAAACGGCCCACTTAGAAGTAGCCAAGGTCAGCCTAAGCTGATCGCACCTCGGCTCGGCCCAAGCTCAGCCACCCTTTCCAACTAAACGACAAAGGGGAACCGAGTGGTGCACGACTTAATGGGCCGACCAGAAAGTCCATCGGCTAGAGGCCTCTTAAGGCATATTGACCTAGGTCATGTCATTATGGAGGAGAAAAGCATGCTATAAAAGGCTAGGAGAAGACAGCGAGAAGGGGGATCCGAAATTGAGCACTCACTTGCAAGGCGGCTAGAACTAGGGGTTTCACTTCTTTCTATTCTTCTGACTTGTATTTTCACGGCTGAGATCTCCGAGCAACGCCGTCTTACCTTGTTTGTTTCTTTATTTGTACATCAACTCTCTCATCAATAAAATTACTCTTCCACTCATAAACAGTAAAACGTCTTCGAAATAACCCACAGACAAGTCTAATCACTCTCTTTACTGATATAAGACCGAACTCGGTTCAAACAACTGTGTATTCTAATGTATTGGAAAAAAAACAGAAATGTTAATAGTATAGACTTATTATTCTGATGTTTATAGGCCACACGAAGCAATAAAACCGATCCCGTAGACCGGCAAGAATAACCTTTTAACATGTGAAAAAAGCAAACCATGGGAGAACACAAACTGACTGCAACACAGTCACAATAAGCAGAAAACAAACAACACCTTGAGACATGTTTCAGATGGAGACACTGTTCGGAATTCCCCTACCAGTGACTCCACCTTCACTGGTCGGAAACAATAAAGTGTATGGCATCTTAACCGGACCAGTCCTGTTTTTGAGATTCTCGTCTACGTTCCTTTCATCAATCTTCTTCTCAATCTCTTTGACTTTCTCTCCAAACTTGTCAAACGCTTCCAAGGCCTCTTTCTCAGCCGCCCATTCCTTAGAATCTCTCTGACCCAAATACACCTCATCGCTGGAATGAGTAGACAGAATCTCAATCAGAGATATCCCAAGAAGCGTCTGAAGCTGAGCCGTGATCGTCTTCAGAAACACTTTCTCCGGATTCTTCTCAAGTTCTTCAAACCCTGGAGTGTTTTCCTTTGGCATGAACTGTCTGCTTATTGTCGGCCTGTTCGGGAGATACCCTGCAATGGGATACTGTCCGAAATTTACCGCTGCATGTAGGGCAGAGGCCACCCAGATTATTATAGTGCAAGAGTCAATCAGTTCTTTGCGGGTTTGCATTTTAGGCCACCAAGGTTCTGACATTTTGTCTCCGTGGCCTTCCTCACGAACCTCCTTCCACCAAGCTTGGAGCTCAGTGTCGTTTTGGACATCCTCGTCCGTCTTGTAATACAAGGGAATGTAGTCTTGGACCCATGACTCGATAGCGTACCAAACCTCAAGCCCATCCACAGCGTAAGGATAGTCTTCTATCCTCAGACGTAATCCGTTTGGTGCTTCTGGGTCCTCAACAGCCATCCCTCTGGAATTGACAAGCCATAAAAACAACAGTTTATCATTTTAGCCAGGGACGCTTTGTGGGTTTTCTTTTGAGTAAATATATGCATTACCTCTTTTTAAGTTCTGCTGGTAAGGCTTGGTCAGGGAAGGTCCAGTGGTTTTTGTAGATGAAAGATGACATCTCCATGGCATATTTAGAAGGGAACACCGTGATTTCAAAGATACCACCACCATTGATCAAGATTTGCCTAGCAAGCGCATTTATGTTCATCGTATCACGGTAGTGAGGTTCGAGGAGCTTGAAAACCGGGTGAACAACGCTTAGCTGTCTGTTCGTGGCAATGACAAAAGGTTCAATCGATGCGTGTGTTTGCAACCTGCAAGAATAACAAAACTTTTAACTTCAGATAATTTAAAAGGTAAATATTGATATATAGATCACTTAACAATAACATATCCATTACCAGTGGCTGATAAGTTGATGGTTTCCAGAGTCATTTACGCCCACATAAGCCTTTGCCAACTGCCACAGCGAGTCGTAGACACCTTCCCCAGGCGTATATACTTCACTCACTGCTCCAAAGCTGTCTCCGTCTGGATGAGGCAAGCTCAGCTCAATCACCAGTGGCTTCAAGGTCCCATCATCTTTCAAGAACAGAAGAGTTCTACTTGCATAAACCTTGTTCCCGGTGGTGTTTATACGTCCCACATATGGCATCAGTGTGTCATGGTGGTCCAATATGAACAACCTTTCCTTCTCCAAAGCCTGAAATACCAAAAGAAAAATATGTTTACAGATTGACTCGGAGATCAGATTAATATGCTTCATTTGATAGTAGATCGCTACCTCTTCAACAGTGAGCCCTTCTAAACTCTCTTCTATATGACTTTTGGTGATTTTGCTGTTCTGGTCACCGTATGTTTCGCTGTCAAGCTTGCTCTTTGGAGGAAATTCCTGCAAGTTAACTTGCCATGACCTGTAAGAAACCAGAAATAAAAAGAGAGAAACACTATTCGTTACCTGAAGAAGTTGAATAACAACAGGGTTTAGCCCAGCAAGCATTTCTCTAGCGAATTCCTCATCGGTTCTCCATGCAGTTTTGTCCTCTACAAGAAGAAAAAAAAATATCAATTTTTAGTTTGCTTGAAAATGTTATACAGATTGTTACTATAACTAATCAAGAACAAAGAAGAATCATGTAAAGTAGATACCTTTGATGACCTGAGGCACTGGATACTTGAGGAATTTCTGACCATCTGTTCTGAATATCTCCTTTAACATCTCAAGTGGTATATTCTTAACAATACTATCAATCAAATCCTGGTTTGGTAGATCGATTCCTTCTTCATAGATCTTAAGAACATCCTCAAAAGAATCAAACTCTTTAGGAGTCTCGTCAAACACAGACTCAAGCGCAGGCTGTATGATCTGCGCTATTGCTTTCAGAGCATAAGCAAGAAAATCAGACATCTTCAAGTGTCCGAACCTCTCGTCTCTTGGTACATATATATCTAGGCTCGACGTGACCGGTAACCTGCTCTCTGTTTCAGGATCTTCTTCAGTAGGTTTTCGCCCGGTTCTTCCTCTTCTCGGGTAAGGATACTCCTGTGACCCTCCAAGTACAGGCCTTGGGTTTTTCGGCGGTACGCCTAAATCGTTGTAGTAAGCATAGTCATACACTCTGTCCCATTCCTTAAGCTCTCCTTCACCGGTTCCTCTTAGGCTCGCTAGCTCTTCTTTCCTGTACTTGAGCAGTGGCTGTGGCGTTTCATGTGGAAGATAAGTCTGAGACACACAAGTAAACATTGAGTCTCAAAAACCATTTCTCACATCACTAAACGTATTAGAGAACATCCCTCAACAAATGCCAAACTTTAGTTACCTTGTTGGAGAAGAAAACTCGGTCTTTGGTGTAGTTCTTAGCAGGGTAAACCCAAGAATTGCAGATGTAATGGACTCTGCCATGGCCTGGGACATCTTCAAGGGTCAAACTTTTGAGATAAAACTCACTAAAATGGCTGTTTCTGATCAAGAATGCTCCAGGGTAACCGAAATCTTGGTCGTAATTGAACGTGACCTTGAAGGCTGATTCTCCCGCGGTTAACGAGGTGATCGTGGTGATCCAATCCTCTAAGTGAGCAGCCTTGCCTAGTTTGCCGTTAGAACCGTTTTCTGCCAAATCGTAATGACAAAATAAATAATAGAGAGTTGGATTGACAGGTTAACATCATCAGCTGAGTTTATTTACGTCTACGTTGGGTCCGGTTAGTGTATTTGTGCAACGTTATTCAGTTCAAGTGGAATTAGTATACTGGTATCTAATTACAAGTTGATAACAGAAATAATTGAATAGAGAGTTGGATTGACAGGTTAATCCTTTTTAAGACAAAAGGATCCATCTACTGTTCTTAAAAACAGAAAAGAATTTCACGATACCATTATTTATGTTTACTTTCTCTAATTGAACATTTTTAAAAATATCTGACATAAAAAAATTTAAAGAAATAAGATACATTTATGATCTTGATTAATAGAAATAATTATTTAAATAATTTTTTAAAAAGAATATATATATATATATATATATATATGTATATTTTTTTTTTTGAATTCAACTTTTAAAATTCGAACATTTTATAAAAAAAAATTGAATTTCTTTCAAATTTTTAAAAATTTTCATTTTTTGAAATTCGAAATTCTTTTTCGAAACTAATTTTCAGTTTTTTATTTTATTTTTATTTTTATGTTAAATATTTATTTATATTTTTATTAAAATTTTAAACTTTACCCTCCAAAACTTTCTCTTCCCCTCAAATCTAAAACCCTAAATATAAATTAGTTAATCCTATGGATATAAATGTATATTCATTTTTTAAAATCAAAAATAAATGTGGTTAAGGTAAAAATGAAAATGCGTATTGAGAAATGTTAGTTTTGACAATTTCTATAAAAACAGTATCTGCACTGGGAGAAGATGGTTAAAATTACAGGTATCTGACATATATATACGAATAAAATTCATCATTTAAAGGAAAAATGCTATTGAACTTAAGATTTTTAAGAAATTAAACGCATACATCTTTAATGTTCGGTGTGCATTATACCGTTAATTTTTTTGGAATTGTCAAGGACGCTATTAAACGACAAATGAAGATTAACGCCACAAAATATAACTCTACAGTAAATTATTCCTAAGGTTGAATTTGGAATTGTCAAGGACGCTATTAAACGACAAATGAAGATTAACGCCACAAAATATAACTCTACAGTAAATTATTCCTAAGGTTGAACAAATATTTTCTGTATGGGGGACACGTACGTAACCTACTAACCTTCAACCTGCTTCACGTTATGCAAAGGGAAAGAAACAGAGCATTTTCGACGTTTGAGACTATTCAGTAGTTTCTTAATCAAATGTTTTTGGGTGTTTGAGAAGGTTATACGATATATTTTTATCTTTAGTATCAATTGAGCCGACAAACACTTAAAAACAAATTATTTATCGAAAATAATTAAATAAAAAATGCTATGGAGACGAAAAATACTTAAGATAATACTGTAAATAATTTTTAAAAAGTTGACAAAAAATACTATATTTTATTTTCTCCTTTTTGTGTGGCTAATTTCTTTTGTATTTCAACCTTAATACCGAAATAAAATATATCTACTGCCAATTGGTAAACAATCTAAACATGAAGTTATTAGCATTCGAGAGACATAATATCGAAGTTAAAACAATTCTACACTGGTCTGTAATATTTCGATTGTTAAATACGTATAAAAAATAAAAGACGGACAATATAGTAAGAAATATTCGAAAGATATCATTTTCGTATTATAATAATCTGGTTTAGCTAGCTAAATTGTTCTAAATTCTTTTACAAAATCACTTATTTTATACAAAAATATACAAAACAACAAATATATTCTGCACTGTAAATATTCAATCTCCGAGGTAGAATTAATTCACAAAAAGAAGAAAAGAAAATACAATTTAATTTGTTGATTGGGAAAGATTAAAGAAAAAGGTAACAGCATTTGGTCGCACTCGCACAAAACGAATATCTGATTTATCGTCCTTTAACAGAGAACTAGACCTTGACCCGCCCGATTGGGCGGGTATTTATTTATGTATTTATTTATATTAACTGATGTATTTATAATATTTAAACATAAACTTTGATTGAAAATTAATCTTTACAGTTATAATAATTCAATTTAAAAATTAAAAAAAATATTCTGATATAAATTTTAGATTTCTTAATTAAAATAATATAGAGGTAGGAATAATTGTTTCCAATTCTAAAATCTTATCATCCCTTAAAAAATTATAAATAGTTAATATATATATATAAATATGTGTAACTATAACTTCTATAATTTCTTAAAGAAAATAACATATTATTTCTTACTAATAAATATTAAAATATTGAATATTTTAATACCAAATATATTAGGAAATTTATTTGGTTAAGATTTTACTAAGAAAATCTATTATTTAAATTATGAAAAGATATTAAATACTTAAATCTATTATCTAAATTAGAAAAAGACAAGTATGTTTAAATAAAGGTTCAATAAATATCTCAATGGCTATCTATTGTAAATAACTGATAAAATTAAGGGTTATTTCTATTTGGTACTTCTCTTTTAATAATATAGATAATGTTTTTTTGGCCTTTTATAGGAGGAGAGAGAAAAGCCAAAATAATTCCATGCTTTCTTGCCGAAGAAGTTTCCATTTATCAAACAATGTGATTTTTTCCTAATATATCCAAAAATGGTTTCATAGTTTTTGATCTTGATTGTTTTTCCAACTCAAAAGAACAAACGAACAAAAAACACGGAGCCGAAGGTAAAGGGACAAGATGGTACTATCCGTATAACAAACAAGTATATAGAGACAATTGCGAGTTTAAAAATATATTGAGTGTAATTAATAAAATATCTTTAATATAAAATTAAAGACTCTTGTTCTAGTTTTGCACAGAGGTCAATGAAAAAATGAGAGAAAGCTCAAGTAAGCGAAATAAATCAAAATAGAAGCGCGAGTGTACCTGGATCGGTAACATCGGAGCTGATAAGTCGAAGAGTGACTTTGTTACCCAGAAATTCATGGAGGCGATCAAGGAACGAAGCGTTGAAATCGTTGAAATCGAGGACGTTCTTCTTCATCAGAACCACTGTTCCTTTCACCTTCGTTGCATTTCCTCCACCGCCGGTCAACAGATCCACCAAGTCTCCGATCATCTTTGAGTTGCAGAGAGAGATTCACTGATCCTTTCTTTATTCGCTCTCACAATTTTAATCAATGGTGTGGCGATTTCTCTATCGGTTAGGGGTATTTAAAGAGCAAAACTAAGTCGTTGAAGCCCTTTCTAAAAGAAAAAAAAAACTAAGTCGTTAAGGGATTTTATTTATTTTGTCCGCTTTTATTCATTTTATTATGTATTTTGTGTCAGCATTCATTTAATTATGCAAAACCAAATAAGACGGTGTTCATCCATCTAAAGATATCTTTAAAATGGAGTATTTACTTTTGTGGCTTTCTTAAAATAACTACAGTAATCTAATATTTCATTACGAAAATAATATAAAACATACATAATAAAAGTTACTAAACCAGTTAGATATCATATATATAACAGTTTGAAGTTTCGATTTGGACAATATGATGTATGAAAGTTTTTAATAGTTTGAAGAGAAATTTACTCAAACATGAAACATTTTAGGATATATTATTAAAATCATATAATATCTTTTTATTAATATCACTTTTAATATCCATATTTTATTATTACGTTTGTGAGAAAAAATATATTTACAAAAATATCATATAAATAAAAAATCAACGTCACGTAGAAATGCATTAACGTGTATTAATGAATTCAGCCGTAAAAACTTTGTTACAGCGGAAATATAGTTATTTTGCAATTAGGTTAAACAACTCGGCTGATTTATGAGAAATTAACTAACTTGCGAACGTAAATTAGCATTTACAAACATCATGTTGATTTATGGGATAACAACTGGCTTACAAACACAAGTTACGATTGACTTATACTTGATGATGATTTCTCGAATATTCAGCTGAGTTGTAGTTAAAACATGGTGAGGTATGTTTTACCTGATGGTTTAATGATCATCGCCTGGCTGAGTTAATAAATTTACGAGTAATTTATGAGAGGTTATTATAACTGAGTTATATTTAATCATTCGTAATTGGCTGGATTAGCAGTAAATCCAACTTAATTATAATTGACTTATTAGTAAAATATTAATTAATAGAATATCATTCATTTGATTGCTGATTTATTTGACAATATATCTGATTTATGATTTTTTATCTTAATTACAGCTGGTTTATTAGTAACAGATTAATTACTAAAATAATATTCACGTTTCAGTTGACTAACGTTATATTTGATGGCTAATTTATTTAGGCTACATTATGTGTTTGTTTGATGGCTGGCTTACTGTTTTTTCATGTTAATATCTATGTCGTCAACTCTTATTTGTCATGTCATTACTAATATTAACAGTTAAATAAGGGTTTTTGTTACATGGCATGTCTTATTCTTCATCTTTTTTTTATCTATTATCTTCATCATATTTTTCTTCTTTGTCTAAGATCTTATAGAACTGATAATTATTATTTCCGATACTAAGCCTAAAAAACATAGATTTAAAAAAATGAAAATCCGAGACATATCTACTATAATAATCGTCGTCTTCAATGATGGTTGGTTAAAAAAATTTTCCTTTTTACTCTATTATAAAAAATGAAACTATTTTAAAATAAAATAATAATTATTTTATTATGATCATTATTATTATTATTTATCAGTCACTTTTTTATTTTAAATGGAGTAGGAAGAGAAACTCAAAGGAAATAACTCACTTTTTGGTAAAACTAATTTGTTACCAATAAATTAACTAACCTTTTCAGCACACTATTAAAAGTTTCAGAGATGTAAAGTATTTTTCATTTTTTTCGTAATCGTTCATTATTACATGCAAAAAACCCATATACAAAAGCATTCAGTGTTCAAAAATTTTAATCAGAAATGATACATGTAAATCCGGTTCCTCCAATTTGACTGGTTACGTTCTATATATTGTTGATTTATATCTTACTTTATTTCTCGATATGGTTTTTAAGGTAAGAAAAAAAAAACAATTTTCTATTTTGTGACACTGTATGCTATAGGCAATTGTGAAATTTTCACTGAATAAAATTCTCAAGGCTCTTTTTTTTAAAAAAAAAAAAAGGCTAAAAGAAAACAGTGTAAGGTCTAATAACAGAGCAATATCCCCAAAACATAGCAACAATGGATCAGATCAAAACAAACAATAAGAGAAAGTTAGCATATCAAATGTTTTTCTTTTTCTTTTTAATTAAAGAAAAAGAAGATATGATATATTATCATGCCTTTAAAAATTCTGGCCCTCTCTGATTGTAGTCCACTTTGATGAATCTCCTTAAATATTCTCGCAACCAATGTGGTCCTCTTTGAACCACGTACGCCAGCAAACGATTATTTTTCGTGTGCCACCGTTTTAAAATTTTAAAGTATTGACTTTTAAATGATGTGACCATTTCGATTTATGGAAGGTAACTGTTATAAACATTTAGAACAAAAAAACGAAGGTAATTGTTTTTTGGGAAAATTGGAAAAAAAGACACCCTCAACTTAGAATTGGTCCATTAAGATTTTGTGTAAAATTTTTGTTTTATTAGGATTTAGTTAATGTTAATCCGATATACCTTTAGATTTAGGCGAATTTACATAATTAAAAATTATAATAATTGTCATTATTATATAATATAATTTTAAACAACTAAAAAAATAAAATAAAAAAGGTAAAAGGATGTTAAACTTAAGAAAATATCTTCTTTCTTTCGTCTTTTCGTATTTTCCACTTTTCCGCCGAAAACTTCAATATTCTTTCAATGGTGATTTGTTGCTGTTTTTCTTCTTCACACTATTAAAATTCAAGTATATGTTTTATATTTCTTCTTCTATGTCTCTCATCTTTTGTTCTTCGTCATCTTCTCTCGTCGACTCACTTCTCCTTCTTCACGGATTAGTTTCGTTGAGATTACGTTAAAGCTCTGTTGATTAATTGTTACAAGGGCTTGTTCATATATGTTTTGTTATGTAAGTTGATATTTATCTTGAGCAACTTTCTTCCGTTGAAGAGATCAGAGATTGAGTACTTATTCTTGCTAAAGTTGGTGCACATCAACACAACGGCTACCAATGTTGATTTTGGGACTGCTTGTGGGAAGAACTTCCGTGTTTCATGTCTCAGCATCGTTGATTCAGGTGATTCCGACATCATCAAGTCGCTTCCTGGACACCAGCGATTGTTGATTTGTTACGAGTTTGCCATGTTTTGTCTGCTTTATGGAATGTGTTCTTGAAAGACATCATGTTTGGTTTCTAAACTCTTTATGCTTAATTACACTCATCATGTCTCGGATCCATTTTGCAGGAATGAAAAGCTTATTTTAGGTTAATTTTTATCTGAACTCTTGTATTAATTCATAATTTTCAACCCAAGTTACTTGAAATTTTTGTTTAACTATATTGGCATTGCTGGCTTGTCTCATGATCGGAATCAACACCAAGAAAAACCTTAAATTAATTGATGTTCTAGAATCTTCAAAACTGAATCTTACTTATTAATAGCATAAATAGAATGTTGAAATCGTCATGAGCTGCTGTAAAAAAAAAATCTCCTTTGTTTCAAAGATTGAAACTACTTGGTATGTAACTGGAGCTGGACTAAATTACTCACTGCGATAGTGTTCTTTAGTTTCTTTACCTTTAAGTACAGATATTCCCTCTACCACAACACACATGGATCCTTAATCGGTCCACGTTGATGTCTATAAACATGGGTCTACAACGTGTGTGGTATGTGGGCTTTCAGACGCAAGGCAACATTATCCAAACACACCTTCTTTAGACATTTTTTAATGGATCATGGAGTTGTCACATTATGAAACATGTGCAAAAAGCTCTTTTGCTTGTTGATAACCCCTCACATGCATGAATTAACCATTTCCCAATAAACTGATTTGCTTCTGGGTCTTGAATCATAGAGAGGGAAGCATATTCTATTAACTTGAAATCAAGAGAATCAGATCAAGTTAAAATCTTGTCAAATAACGAATAACATACAGAACATGGCATGAATTACGAAGTCTTCCCTCTTCAAAGTTTTTATTAGTAGAAATAAGAACAAGTGTTCTATTCCCGAACGACCACTATCTATGTTTTTCTTCTATTTTATTAACATTCAACCACGCCTTTTTTTACTGCCAATAAATTCCACTGGTCACGCAACTTGACATCCATACCCCAGATTTTAGAAACATGTTGTATTGATAGATAGAAGAGATGGTTATATCGATGAAGAAAAGAGAAAAACAAAGAACGAAGGAGAGAGAGATTGTGAGAGGAGAAATTCGTGAAATAGAAGATACTATGAGAGATTTAGGATAAATTTAGTGTAGATGTACATGTGAGGTGGCCGCAGATATCGAAAAAGAAAGAGAGGATGCATGGGTTCAGAAATTTCTGTTTGGACTTGATGATTTGCGCTTCTCTTCCATACGTTCCCGTATCACTGACGAGGGACCTCTACCAGACCTCAATATTGTATACTCCAGGGTGATTCGTGAAGAGCAAAACATGGCATCTACACGTGCTAAAGAGCAACGAACAGAGGCTTTGGGTTTCTCGGTTAAAACAGAGCCTCCAAAAGAAACAACTAAACTTGACTCTACTCCACCTCGCTCCCGTGATACCTCTCGTTCTTGTACTCACTGTGGGCGCACAGAACATGACATAACAGAATGCTTCCTTGTTCATGGATATCCAGGGTGGTTTCAAGAACGCCAAAACAATTCATCTTCGGAAAATCGTGGAGGTCGCGGTGGCCATAACAATGGCAATAGCGGAAGGGGTTGTGGACGAGCCAATGCTACACAAAGCTCAGCAATGATCAACTCCTATCAAATTGCTTCATTAATTTCTCTTCTACAATTCCAACAGAGCAACCTCTCATCAGAGCGTTTGTCGGGTAAAACTATAATTACTGATGTTCTCATTGACACAGGTGCTTCACACCACATGACGGGTGATCTCTCGTTGCTTCATGATGTCTCTGACATCCCGACGTCCTCAGTGACTTTCCCTGTGGGCGTGATTCTCATGCATAGCCATTTTCACTGATACATTATGTGTTTTACAGGACCATTTTTCGAAGATTCTGATTGGAGCAGGTGAAGAACGTGAGGGGGTGTATTACTTTACGGGTGTTAACGTCGCACGTGTTCATGGAGTCTCAAGAATGAAAAAAATCTTCTTCAACTCTGTGGCACAGAAGACTTGGGCATCCTTCTTATAAAGCTTTATCTACTCTACCGGTATGTAAGGATTTTAAGATAGA